CTACTAACTTTGCCCACCTGCCCCGTACATGCTGGAATAACAGGAGGGTGCTGTAGATATATATGGAGGACCCAAACAAGGCTATTGTGTGACTTTGTTTATAAAAAAAAAGAATGGAGGAAATTGGAAGCAATGGAATTGGTGAAATTGTGATAATAATAATTTTTTTTAAAAAAAACACTAATATTTTTTTTTTTGTCTCACTTTCTCTCTCACTGTGTGTGTGTCTGTGTGAAGAAAGTGAGCGTATTTTTATGGGATAGCCGAACGCGGGAAATTGTAGAAGTAATATGTGCCCCATATGAGGTTAAATCAATGAGATGAAGTTTCTTTATGTTCTTGGATGCCTGCACCTATGAATGGATGTGTCTCCCTAAGAGAGGGGGCGTTGAAAGACAGCGTCGTTTTTTTTTTTTTTTACTTTTAACCCACGCCCGTTCCTGCAACTACTACCGATACTACCTTCCGTGCAGAGAAGGGGGAGGGGTGCGGCGGCTGCGGGAGTGCCCCGAGGACTGTCACTTCGTGAGTTCACGGCGAGGGCCCAGTTACTCCAGAACGCCCTGATGTATCAAATTTTTTACTCGTGGGTGAGTGGGTTGGATAGATTTAATCTCAGCTGGGGGACGGTGGACACATTGAACAAAACTACTTGATCTCTCTTTGTAGGAAGTTGGGAAAAGGTCTCATTGCAAAGGGACACTGTATTTAAAATAAGTTGTTTCTGTTGTGCTCATATGTTGCCTTATAAAAATTGTGTGTGATGGAGTTATGCAAGAGTTACAGGTGCTATTATCCCCACTTCTCTGCACTTCTTATTGACATATATAGATATAGATATAGATATATGTATAGATAGATAAATATGTATGGATATGTATATGTATTTGGTGCTATTTGAGGGGAAAGTAGGAGGTGTTTTTTCTTTCTTTCTTTCTTTCCTTTTTTTTTTTTTGGCGCCTGCCGAACGTGGCTGGCGTTACTGTTTGAAGCGGAATCTTTACTATGCTAATACCGCATCTAAAAAGCTATTTTTGGGATACTCAACATGAGGCAGAAATTAGAATGAACCTGCTGAATATTACCAGCCTGTAAGGAGTCATTCAAATGTTTATAATTATGCTTTCTTGTCATGCAAATTGTCATTTGATTCTTTTTTTTTCTTTTTGAGGGCCGCATAGCTAAGAGAAGGTTACTTTCTTTTCTTTTCCTGATCAACAAGCCGCTAGAACCCTCCTTTGGTGGCTTATCTGGAAGCACTTGAAGGAACCATCCTCGATCACCGCGAGTTTCTTTTTCTTGCCATGTTTCAGAGGCTTACACTTCAAAGAATAGCCTAATCTACCATCCCCATCGCGATATATATGGGGTGTGTGCATGTTTGCTTATTTAGGTTTGATACATGTGTGGGGAATAAACTGTGCTGGCGGGTGATGCATAATGTGGTGAAAGGCGTTTACCGAATGTGTCTGGGTTCTCAGATTTCCTGTTTTTTTTTTTTGCGGTGAAATGAGTTGAATGTTCCTCTCGTAGATCGTGCTTCTGTGACAAACTTCGATGAGGTGCCAAGGTTTTATGGGTTTAAACGCTGGTGATGGAACTATTGACTGTTGCCATTATTATTATTTGCCGTTACTGTTATTATTCACTTTACCCCCATTGCATTTGGTTGGGTCCACTCTCCTTGGTGCCATTCTTGTTTTTCGTTGCGGTGGTGCTGGTTTGGGTTATTTTTTTTATTTTTATTTTTTATTTGCCTGTAGGCGGGCGTTTGACGTTGAGGCACCGATTTTGGTAAGTGAATTGTTGGTCGTTTTCTAAGCATGTTCTTCCTCCACTTCCTCTTGCCTCTTGCCTGGTTACCTCTTGCTGCTCTCCTTCTCTACGAGGAGGAAGCCGTGCAAAACTTGCGATGGACTCCGCGGAGGGTACGGACGTGCTCATGGTTTGTTGTTGTTGCATGCTGCGCGTCACTTTACTTATAATTTCTATTTCCACTTTTGCTTCCTGAATAACGCGTTGACTCCACACGCCTGCCGTTTATGCGGTGATGAGGGCGGTGAAGGTTGCCGCACATGACTGTGTCCCATAGTTACAATGTGAACTGTAGCGGTGTACAGTGTAAGGGAGGGAGCGTAAGAGAAACATAACGGCGACGCCAACGCAGCGAGAGAGGTGCGGTGCTGTTGCAGCTTGAACAGTTTCGTTTGGAGGGTTCCATTCAGCGGTTAATGCGTGTGTGGGTTGTATTATTACCACTGAAGTGTTGTTGGTCTCACGTCCCTAACCACTGCATGTTTGCAATGCATAAAATAATAATAATAATAATAATAAAATCGAAGGTGTTGGGGGTTGGATCTTTAAAAAAAAATTTGTTGGTTTTTTTTTCAGTTGTTTGGAGGATAGGAGACGGTGTTGGTTTGCCGCAGTCATGGGTTGACAGAGCTGGGCAGCGGACGAACCAAGTCATTTACGCTTGCAGACACGTGTATGTGGGTTTGTTGACTGGGCACTGTGACTGCAGTTGTTGCATTTTTTTCCCCCTTTTCCCTACGTTTTTCTCTCTGTTTGTGGCAGGTGTATCATCAGCCGCTTTTTCTTTACGCCTGGCTTGCTCGGCGAACAGAGCAACGGCAAGAGGAGAGAAACAAGGGGGGCAATCACCCTGTGGTCTGTGCGTGGGAGTGCCACCGAGGTTTTGTTGTGCCCCACGCAATGACACACTCGTCTTCCCGGAACCGTGTACGGCCAGTAGCGGCTGGCCCTTCCCGCGAGGTGGCGGGAAACGTAACGTACATCCGCAATGAAACGCCACCGTCGTTTCGCGTTCCCCCCAACGGGGCCACCTCGGTGAGTCACGAAACCTTTGCGGGCAACGGCAGCATCGCACGCCGTGCTGCTGAGACATGGGAGTGGCTGAAGCAGATGCGTAAGGAGGTGCGGCAGGCAAAACGAAAGAGCAAGAAGGAGGAGAAAAGCGCGTCACTGTTGTGTTCGGTTTTGCGTGCGAGCAGTGCGGTGCTGACGGATAGGGCTGCCACTCGGCCTTCCTCGCTCGCTGACTCTCGCCGTTTTCGCTTTGCACTGTACTCTTTTCTGGATGGAACCCCATTTCTGACACCGCAGTCTCTTTGCCGCTACAATACGGCCCTTGCCGAGGCTTTGAATGACGACCAGCTGGAACTGATTCGTTGCCACGTCTTTAACTACGATGAGGTGGCCTTCGCGGATCTTTTGTACGCTGACGTGGTGGCAGAATCACTAGAGCAACGCGTGCCTCACGTCGGCGACGAGTTGGTACCCGATGTTGTGCGGCGCTTTAACGAGAGCTCGCGG